TAGCTGGGATTACAGGCATGTGCCACCATGCCAGGCAAATTTTTGTATTTTAGTAGAGACAGGGTTTCACCATGTTGGTCAGGCTGGTCTCAAACTCCTGACTTTGTGACCCACCTGCCTCAGCCTCCCAAGACTGAGAATTTCTTAAGCAAAAATATATAACCTTGGTTTTACATGTTCCTTTTAGAAATGTTGAGATATAGGAAACAAGAAAAAAAAAATCCATCACAAACAGCACTGCCGTGGCCCTATCCACACCTTGTTTTTGGCATCTATTTCTCTATTCTTATTTGTATGTTTTCACATGCATGCATAATACATGCACGTGTATATATTTTTACAAGTTGTATAGGTTAGTGCAAAAGTAATTGCGGTTTTTTGCCCCTTTTTTTAATACAATTTTTTTTTCTTTTTTAGCCCGGGGTAGGAGATCAATTTCTTGCATTTGAAAAATACAAGGACCTAGTATGACCTAGAAAAGCAGAATTTTGCTGGGCATTCCATTTCATGGGAATATTTAAAGATGGATGAAACTCATGTTCATTCTTAGGGCTAGATGCCCGTGAGACTGAGCGTTGCCAGGTGTCTGTGCTGCCCAGCATGTACATACCTTCTTTGGCACTGGCTTACCCTGTGGCTTCAAACGTGTAAGTGGATATTGAGGAAGAGTGGGTGAAACCATGGCTGTTCCCCAAAGGCGGGAACCCTTTGTGGCTTCTTCACTGCTGTGTCTCCAGTGCCCGGCACAGCTCCCCCCACATCAGCGGTGCTCAGTGAGCGTTAGATGACTGGCATTTAGCTGTAGGGTGGCTCGTACACTGACAGTCTTTCTGTCTCTTTCAGGAGGGCTGGAGCCCAGGCGTTTGGTGCGGGGCGTGAAAGGCAGAAGCATTAGCATGAAGGCACCTACCGCTTCCCGAGCCAAGCAGGGACCGTTCAAGACCATGCCTCTGCGGTGGTCCTTTGGATCCAAGGAGAAACCACCAGGTGCCTCTGTCGAGTTGGTGGAGTACTTGGAATCCAGACGAAGACCTCGGTCCACGAGCCAGTCCATTGTGTCGCTGTTGACGGGCACTGCGGGTGAGGATGAGAAGTCAGCATCGCCGAGGTCCAACCTCGCCCTTCCTACTAACAGCGAAGATGGTGGGCGGGCCATCGAAAGAGGTCCAGCCGGGGTGCCCTGTCCCTCAGCTCAACCCAACCACTGTCTGGCCCCTGGAAACTCAGATGGTCCAAACACAGCAAGGAAACTCAAAGAAAATGCAGGGCAGGACATCAAGCTTCCCAGAAAGTTTGACCTGCCTCTCACTGTGATGCCTTCAGTGGAGCATGAGAAACCAGCTCGACCGGAGGGCCAGAAGGCCATGAACTGGAAGGAGAGCTTCCAGATGGGAAGCAAGAGTAGCCCCCCCTCCCCCTATGTGGGATTCTCTGGAAACAGCAAAGACAGTCGCCGAGGCACCTCTGAGCTAGACAGACCCCTGCAGGGGACACTCACCCTTCTGAGGTCTGTGTTTCGGAAGAAGGAGAACAGGAGGAATGAGAGGGCAGAGGTCTCTCCACAAGTGCCGCCCGTCTCCCTGGTGAGTGGCAGGCTGAGTCCTGCCATGGACGGGCAGGTTCCAGGCTCACCTCCTGCCCTCAGGATCCCAGAGGGCCTGGCCAGGGGCCTGGGCAGCCGGCTTGAGAGGGATGTGTGGTCAGCTCCTAGTTCTCTCCGCCTCCCTCGTAAAGCCAGCAGGGCCCCAAGAGGCAGTGCACTGGGCACGTCACAAAGGACTGTTCCAGGGGAGCAGGCTTCTTATGGCACATTTCAGAGGGTCAAATACCACACTCTTTCTTTAGGTCGAAAGAAAACCTTACCTGAGTCCAGCTTTTGATGGAGCGTTATCAGTATTGCTGGCGTTCTTGGGACTTTGCCAAGCAACTGTAGGCAGCTTGTGTTGAAAGTGGGTTTCCAGGAAGCCAGTTGTCTTGTAATCCCTTAAAAATTTTTTTTTTGTGTGTGTGTGTCGGGGGGGTCTCCATATCTAGACTTCTAACACCCAAGGTCCACATAACCCAAGGTCCAAAGCCTTCCTGTATCATTGGGTGCTTTGCTACAGTCTGGCCACTAGAGGATGCTACTGGGTCAGTATTACCAGTTTCAGGGCAAGAACTGATACCTACTAAAGAGCTTTGGATATGGGCAAACAAAATGAGCCTGGTTAATAAGAATCTTCAATGTCATGTCAAATACTGTCATTGGCTTTTCCTTTTTCTTTCTTTCTTTTTTTTAAACATGGTGGACTTAAATAAAAATATTTTATTTTTAATGCTTTTCTGGGATAAGCATTAAAGATACCAAAAAAAGAGAAAAAAACAAAAGAATGATAGTGATGGTAAGCCAAGATTCTAGCAGAGAGAGATGGGAGATAAATGGCTGAGAGTTCAGGTGAATATTTAATATATTACAAATTGTATTAAAGTTTTTCAAGGTATTTTAAAAATAACTATTTTGATACTAGAAAAAAATGTTCATTTTTTTAATTTAAATATGAGATCTATGTACAATTTTAATAAAATCCTGTCCATGAAACACACATGGCTGTCTGAATTATTCAGGTTTGATAAATGACCTTGTTTCATTCCTGCTGAGTAAACTTGGTTCGTTGCTTGCTATTGCTATCAGAAAGTAGTTACTTGAATTCTTTCTAAAATCTAAAAGTGCTTTTCGTTCCAATGCCTTGCTGTTTTCTAAAGAAGCGGAAGCCTCCTCAGGCCTCTCTCTGGAGGGCTTGTACTTGAAAAGACGTGAGTTCCACATCTGCCTGACAGATAATTAGTGGACTGTCCCATTTCCTAAAGGTCTGCACACTCTTCAGTAGCGACTCTTACAAATATCCTATCATTTCTGACTTAGAAGCTGCTAAGCCTGACCCCAGGCCTGGGGCTCAACAGTTGAGGTCACCTGTACTTAAACAGTCCTTTTTCTGCAAATACTTCCTTTTTTGATGGGAAACACTTGTTCAAGGCACTTGATCCCAAGAATAAAGTCTTCCCTCATACATATAGCATGACTCATTGACATGTCTCTGCTACATTTTTTTTCTCCTTAAGAAGGAAGAATGGGCTGGGTGTGGTGGCTCATGCCTGTAATCCCAGCACTTTGGGAGGCTGAGGAGGGCAAACCACCTGAGGTCAGGAGTTCGAGACCAGCCTGGCCAACATGGTGAAACCCTGTCTCTACTAAAAATAACAAAAAATAGCTGGGCGTGGTGGCGTGCACCTGTAATCTCAGCTACTCGGGAGGCTAAGGCAGCAGGATTGCTTGAACCCAGGAGGTGGAGGTTGCAGCAAGCCAAGATCACGCCATTGCATTCCAGCCTGGGCGACAGACTGAGGCTCCATCTCAAAAAGAAAACCACAAAAACCAAAAAAACAGAAAAACAAGGAAGAATGGAGTCCATTTTTTTTACCCCAGTGAAAAAGACAACTTACCTTTGATCAAAGCAACAGTTAGAAGGTAGAACTGAGATAATAGAGAAAGCAAGAAGATCCAGCCACTTGACCCCAGAGGGCAATATGGACACCAGTAAACCTGTGTGTTTGCATTGCAAAAGAAGTCCCATGTTCTCTTCAAGTCTTACACCAATGTACACTTAGGCACTGTGGAAGACATGGTTGTCCAAGTCCTCTTGGGTGAACAGGAGTCTAGGAGTCTTCCTGCTTTATCTGGTTCTTTCTCTTCTGTTGACTCTCAGAGCAATTTGTCACATTCAGTTTCCATGCTCTTCCTAAGCTCAGTCTCACTTTCTTCCTCCTCCAAGAGACTGGATTGGAACGCAGAGATGCACCTCCCTGGCTTCTCTCTGCTAAAGACTCAGCCTTTAGAATAGTCTTGGTTTGTTGGGATATCATGAGAGGGTCCCAGGCCTTAGAAGAAATGTAACACATTTACTCTAGGCTCTGAACCGTGGAGGTTCAGGAAGAGGTAATTACACTTGACCCCTGATAGATACCTATCCATCTGGGGTCTGCAACAAGGATGCCTGAGGCACCCTTGCATCCCCTTCCCTGAGGTCGCTTCTCCCTCTAGAAGGACCCGGTAGGAGGCTGTGAGAACAGAGCATGGGAAATGGTCGAGTCCAATTTCTGCCTGGATTGGAGGCAATAGGGTCATGGTTCCAACCTTGGCCATGCATCTGATGACAGGCTGCAGGCTTCTGGTCAAGTGATCCTTGAGGAGAAAGCATGGGAGAACCATTGGATGCTTTTTTCCTATCACAAAGATCCTCTTGGGGACTTCCAGCTAGGAATTAGAGAAAAGTTGAAAGCCATTGAGCCAGAGAGGAGCATAGCCAGAAATGGAGCTAGCTCAGGATGGCCAAAGGGGCCTCCCATTCTTCCTCTGGAAGCTCAGATCCACACCTGAGTCTGTTCCTGCTGTCTGAGGCTTGGTTGCCAGGTCCGACCTGCAGACCCTGGCCGAATGACGGATGAAGGAAGGCACTCAGACACATATCCACTGAAAGGGCAGACTAGGGGACCGGGCCACTTACAGACCCCAAGGAGGGTGCTGTGAAGAGTCAGCAGCCACGGCCTTGACAAGCTGGCCCTGTGGGCATTTGTTCAGCACAGATTTAATGACAAAGGCTTTGAGTCAACACACTTGTGGGTAATCAGCATGGTCGCCCTCCCCAGAGAGAGCAGTCCTGCATGGATTTTTAAAGGCCAGGTTCCTTGTGACAGAAAACCAAACACCGCATATTCTCACTCATAAGTGGGAGTTGAACAATGAGAACACATGGGCACAGGGAGGGGAACGTCACACACTGGGACCTGTTGTAGGGTGGGGATTGGGAGAGGGATAGTGTTAGGAGAAATACCTAATGTAAATGACGAGTTGATGGGTGCAGCAAACCAACGTGGCACATGTATACCTATGTAACAAACCTACACATTGTGCACATGTACCCTAGAACTTAAAGTATAATAATAACATTTTTAAAAGGCCAGGTTCCAAGGCCTAAGTAAACGAACTTATCTAGATCAGTTTCTTTACATCCCCTTATTATCTAACCTAAGCTTTCAGGCAACGAATAAGAGAACCTGGCCGCCTTCAGCCAAATCCTTTTCCGAAGCTTTGTAAAACCTCTTGGCCTTCCAAGAAACTTTGCATCTTTCTACAATTTTCCCCATCACCCTGACCAATCTCCTACACTTGGTCTCTGGTCTGATGGTCACAGCCCATTCCTGACTCCTAAAGTGTCTCCCAGGTTTGAGGCCCGCCTCCTTAATCCTCCACTCCTGCTCTTTTCCACTAGTGGAAGGAAGGTCTTGCAAGTCCAGAATCTTGGGCTAGGCAGTCACACAGGTAGTGCCAAAAGCTCCAAGGGCCCACAGGATCAAAGAAGAAAGCCAGAAAGTCTAGAGGAGGAGAGGCCATAGCCCATAGGAGTCATCTAACTACAGTTCTAGCTACATCTCCTCAGTAGGCTATCACCTGCAGTGAGGCACCACCAGCATGATGTCCTGAGGAATGGTGAGCTAATCAAGCACGTCCTGACTTGATTTCATCCTAGAGCTGCAGAGATCACAGTTAATAATTACCGCTGAGGAGCACTGATATAGTACTTAACTGTGGGCAAGACACTCTTCTAAGTACTTTATGATATTAACTCATTTAATACATGATAAACTTTTGAGGCAGGTACTGGAAAAATGGCCAGTTCAACCAGCATACTCTAGATACAAGTCCTTTTCATAAGTATCTTTGAAATAAGTATATTTGAAGTATATTTTTCCAGCCTGTGACTTGTTTCATAAGTATCTTTGAAATATATTTTCCCAGCCTGTGACTTGCTTTCTTATTTTCTTAATATAGTTTTTTGAAGAGCAAAGTTTTTGAGTTTGAAACAGTCCAATTTATCAATATTTTTTGGTAGTTTGTATCTTTCAAGGAATTTGCAAATTTTGTCTAAGCTGTTCAATTTACTGGAACAAAAAATCCCAATATTATTCTGTGGGAATCTGTCTAATCTGTAGTAATGTTACCTCTCTCATCCTGGATATTGGGAATTTGGGTCTTCTCTCTTTTTTGCCTGATTACTCTGGCTAGAAATTTATCAATTTTAAAAAATCTTTTCAAGAACCAGCATTTGGTTTCTTTGATATTTGTGTGTGTGTGTGTGTGTGTGTGTGATTTCTATCTCATTTCTGAGATTGCTGTTTTTATGTCTATTACATCCTTTCTCCTAATTAATTTGGATTTAATTTACTTTTTCTATTTTTTTTAGTGAACACTGATGTAATTGATCTGAGATCCCTTTTCTTTTTTCTTTTTTTTTTTTTTTTTGAGACAGAGTTTTGCTCTTATTGCTCAGGCTGGAGTGCAGGCTCACTGCAACTTCCACCTCCTGGGTTCAAGTGATTCTCCTGCCTTAGCCTCCTATGTAGCTGGAATTACAGGCACTTGCCACCAAGCCCGGCTATTTTTTTGTTTTGTTTTGTTTTGTTTTGTTTTTGTTTTCTTTAATAGAGATGGAGTTTCACCATGTTGGCCAGGCCGGTCTTGGAACTCCTGACCTCAGGTGATCCATCCACTTTGGCCTCCCAAAGTGTTGGGATTACAGGCGTGAGCCACTGCGCCCAGCCCTTTTCTTCTGTAATATAGACATTTAGTGTTATACATTTCCTTGATTCTCCAAATTCCATGTTGTATTTTCATTTCCATTCAGTTCAAAGTACCCTCTGATTTCCCTTTTGATTTCTCTTTTGACCCGTGGGCTATTCAGAAGTATGTTTTTAGCCTGAGGGCCAGAAGTGGTGACTCCATATTCCCCTCTGGTGGTGGAAATGTGAGATTCGAATGTTGTGTATGACGACGTGCTCACCCTGTGGAAATGCTGGTCCTCATCGGAAGACAGCGAGGTGCAGCTGCAGAGAGAAGAGGTGGGGGACACACTGGAAGTATTATTCTCTTTTTTTTTTTTTTTTTTTTTTTTAGACTGAGTCTCGCTCTGTCGCCCAGGCTGGAGTGCTGTGGCCGGATCTCAGCTCACTGCAAGCTCCGCCTCCCGGGTTCACGCCATTCTCCTGCCTCAGCCTCTCGAGTAGCTGGGACTACAGGCGCCCGCCACCTCGCCCGGCTAGTTTTTTGTATTTTTTTTTAGTAGAGACGGAGTTTCACCGTGTTAGCCAGGATGGTCTCGATCTCCTGACCTCGTGATCCGCCCGTCTCGGCCTCCCAAAGTGCTGGGATTACAGGCTTGAGCCACCGCGCCCGGCCTGGAAGTATTATTCTCTTAGTCCATTTAGTTCCCACCTGTGCTGACATTTCTTCATCTTCACCCATCTTATCTTTCTCTTCTTCTCTTATGTCCTCTTTGCTTTGCTTATTTATCTAGGCCCCTCCATTTAGTCCATTTTCTGGATGAAGAACCCCAGTTAGTGACAGAATACTGAAAAAAAAAAGATCAAATTTTAAGAACATGTCCCCTACCCCCTTTTTTCTTTTTTCTTTCTTTTTTTTGAGATAGAGTCTTGCTCTGTGGCCCAGGCTGGAGTGCAGCGGCGCGATCTCAGCTCACTGCAACC